TTGTGGAACAGGTGCACATTTTTACATATATATGCAATTATATTTGATATTTCATCCATTTAAATCATAAGATTTTCTCTCTCTTGGGATTCATTTGCGCTATAGTCTATTGAAATTCTATTCACTCCAAGCTTTTAGGAAGACTCCTATGCTTTTCCTCCTCACAATCAAACATCCTTTCAGTCATCTTGTACTGAAGATGGCGTGACACTCTAATCTTGTGCTTTATTTAGTGTACAACTTTTCGGGAATCCTGCAACCAAAGAGGTCAAACATTTGAGGTGTTGCAGATGGTGGCACCACTCTGATGATCTTATTTGTATGACTATATGCATTCATTTATGCAAATGCATGTGCTTTGAGGATCTTATACAACGATGTGTTTTTTCCTTTGCATATGTTAGGCAAGTTTGTGGTTAGTTATCTTTGCATGATTTATCGAAGTCATGTTCCATGTGCAGTCAAATTATATTTGTTGATAAAATATCTCAAATAATTTTCTTTTGAAGGGTTTAGATTTTATGCTATCATTTATTTGAGATCTGTTGTCAATTGGCATAAAGTAGAGCATATGCTTCACATATTTCTTACTTTCCATGAGGAGCTACTAAATAATAATAGGTTTACAGGGTTCTCTTATTGAGATGACCGGCCCTAAGCGAGGCATCACAATGGTAGCCCCTGTTCTAGTTGAGTTTGACATGAGGATCAAGAAAGGAAAGCAAGAAGATGATCTACAACTAATTGATGGTGCAATGGAGTACCACGATATAGTCACACCTGAGTACCCATTCACGCATCGGATTAATGGTGATTGTGGCGCGGTTGACATCACTTTAGCCCTTATTCGTTGGGCATTTGAGGCCACAATAGATGTTGTCATATCAAAAGTGCAGTGTGGATTTGATTTATCCCTCAGCTCATGTATTCTCCTTATGGATGATTTACATGAGATTCAACTCTTTCGTGGCAGTATTGGTGAGTCGTGTGGCTTAAGAAGACATGTGATTGCTGTGGAGGAGGATACTTTGATGCATTTGAAGTTCAAGGTAGGTCAGAATAGTTGTAAAAATGATTTTGATCACCATTGTTCCTTCAAAGCGAAAAAACATGGGTACGACTATCAGCAAATCATGCTTGAGCTTGCCTCTATCTCAGTGAAGGTGACTTGGTCGAACTTGCAAAGCTAAGTCACTTGTTTCATATTCGAACTTTGGTTGTGTTACTAGTTGAAAGTATGTGTGTTGCTACAGAAGACAAATAAATGGCTCCACAAAAATGTGTATTTCTTTGATTATTGTACTACCTTTGTAAACAAATGTAAAGACGTCTTATATTTGTTTACCGAGGGAGTATTTTTTATTCAACTCTATCAGAGTTGTGTGAGTTCAGATTTGTACCATTTTATTAAGATTATTAATATATATTTGTATGACTGTCATGCGGACAACGGCGAGAAGAGCAGGTCGCTCTTATATTTCTTTCACTGTTCAAGATATCTTCCGATATTCCGATAAATCGGACGATTTATCGCTTACCCTTATCTGACCGATAGGATAAATCGGCTGATAAATTAGTCGATATGACGATAAACTGGCTGATATGGCGATAAACTGGCCGATTTAACCTTTATCATGGGTCGACCGATAAGTTCCCGATAAGCGATATCCCCAACATTGATTTCTTTACAGAAAAAGTACCATGGAAAAATAAATTGCTCTGGCGGCCTACTTTCTTGCTAGCACCCACGGGCACGGCGGATCAGCAAGCCGGCCGGCTGTCACATGCGGTCGATCCATCCGTTTTTTTCTTATTTTCTCCCTCCACGTGCATGTGTGGTCAAGTCGGGTCGGAGTCGGACAGTTTGGACGGCTGGAATTTCCCACTTTACTCAAGCCACAAGCTAAAGAAGATTCACATCTTCCTTGTTGCTAGCCAGCCGCTGTTTCTCTCTCTGGGTCGACATCATTCTTCCATTCTTTTCTTAACATACACTGCTGAAAACAGATTCACTTTTCCAAATAAGCAAGCTTCATTCGATTTCCTTGCAATGCTGCTAATTACGTACATACAATATCTCCAGTAGATTATGAAAAAAAAAACACCGCCGTGCCGAAAACACAGCAGTAAACTTTATGAGGCACCTAGGACAAATACACAGCTTGTTTTCCTAACAATGTTGCTTAATGGAGCTTAATTTCTTTTGTTAAAATGTATTCACATGCAGTCTTATTTGAAAGCCCTCGCCGCAGGCCACTGAAGGTCCGCATCTTCCTTGCTTGCTAGGTAGCCGCTGCTTCTCTCTCTCTGTCGACAACATTCTTCCATTTCGACCATGATCATCTCATCATAAAGTACATGCGACCCTAGCTTTACCATGCGACCCTAAACGGACGTCCGGTTTGACCGGATTTTGTCCCTTTGGGACCGATGGGTTCGCCCGTGTCCGGCCTTGTCCGTTGGGTCGTGCGTGCGGCCACCGCGCAGCCACACCCCAAATCACGTCTGTGTTGGGCATGATTTAAAAAAATAGAAAACGTAAATAAAATGACTAAAAAAATAAATAAGCGCGGTTTAATAAACATAAAACTTAGTTAGGATCGCCACGGCCACAAAACGGCCCAGTTTCATGTCCAACTTGACATAATTAAACATTAAAAAAAATGGCCACTGCCAGTGCGCTTCTGCCCGTGCCCGTCGATGCCGTCGCCGTCGCCGTCTTCAGTGCCCGTCGGCGTCGTCGTCGCTGACGAGGTCCACGTAGGCCGGCGGCGTTCAGAGGTGGGCCGGCGGTGCGTGGTAGACGGGGGTGGGCCGGATGGCAGGAGGTGCCTGCACGACCTCCTCCCGTGGCGACGCCTCCCGCTCCGGTGACCGCGGCGGAGTGGCGCACCAGTCCACGCCCACGGCGGCGGCCATCTCCGGTGCAGTGCAGGACCAACCCCACCCCTGGCCCAGCAGACCCGGGTGGAACGCGGCCACCGGCTCCTCCTCCATCGCCTCCTCCTCGGGGATGGCTACCTCGCCGGCGACGGAGTGGGCCATCATCTCCTTCAGGCCCTCCCATTTGCCGCTCATCGTGCGTGTACATGGAGTCCTCCATGACACGCGCCATGAGACGGGCCTCCTCCTCCGCTGTCATGCGAGGAGGTGGTGGCGGAGATGGCGAAGGCGACGGCGAGGGCGTGGGCATGAAGCCGCGCACCAGCCTACGCCCGCGCTCCTGGGGAGCAGGCGCTACGCGCTCCCGACGTGGCCGCCGCGGCCCAGACGCCGTGCCGGCGAAGAAAGAGGCACGCCGCACGTCGTGCTCGTCCCTGAGCCAGGTATCCCAGAGGGAGGAGTCCGGGCCTACCTGTCGTCGCAGTACAGCTCGTCGGGGAGGAAGCGGCGGCGGCGCTCGATCTCTTGACGGCGTGCACGGCCGGTTGCCGGGACCGGCGGGATCGGCACACGGTCGGCGCTGAGGTGCCATCCGTTGGGGAGGTGGGCGTCGCCCCAGGGGAGCGGTGTCCTCGTCTCCCAATAATGGCGGCACACCGACGCTCGGACGTAGTGCTGGTCGCGCTCGCCGGCGGACGTGGTGGCGATGGAGAAAGCGGTCGGCGCGGGGGCCCGGCGTGGTGGTGATGCGGCCTCCTTCTTCACGGAGCCGGCGCGGCGCCCTGACGAGGAGTCGGCCTTGTGGTCGTGCTTCCCCTTACGGTTCTAGAAGCCCATGGCGTCGAGGGTGGCCGGCCGGCGAGCTCGACAAGGGAGGGCTAGGGTTTAGCGCGGTCGGGTTTTGAGAAGTCCGCTGGATGGAGTGGGACAGTGTGGACGACGACCGGTCCACGGGTTCTCCATTTAAGAAGGACGGCGACCTTCCACTGGGCCGATGGCAGATGGGGTCGGCCACCCGTGCGCATTGATGTTGGCAGGCGGGAGGTAGGTGGCCGCCCCGCCACGCGGCCAGACGCGGACGAGCGGCGCGTCCGTTCGGTGTCCACGGCGACACAAACCCGACGCAAAGATGCGATTGAAATGGGTCGGCCCGGACACAAACGGGCCAGATGGATCCGGACCTTCGCGCGCTGGGCCGCATCGTTTGTCTGTTTTACTCGAAACGAACGGGATGGGATAGGATGAGGTCGCGCGGTGGAGTTGGCCTTACTATGATGATCGGGCCGGTATGGAGTTGCTCTCAGATTCCCTGACGTAAGTATGTATGTGTCAGGCCACGAGTCACCGATGGACAAACAACAAAAATACAGAAATGACGAATGGTTTTTATAACGAACAAACTATGCATACATACATACATGCGGAGTCTCCACCATGACCATGAGATGAGATGAGGTGCGCCGAGGAAGTTGGCTGGTCGTTAACGTGCTCCCGGTTGGTTGTTCCAGGCCAGCGATACGGCCGGTCTCGGACGGCGACCGGCGACGGCGTACGTACCGCGAGCGACTGTCTGTCTGCTAGCAGCACCCGCGGGCGTGTATGGTCAGGTTCAGTCCAGTCCAATGCTCTTCGGACAGCGCGGACGGGGTTTCGCACTTTACCGCAGCCCCAAGCCACACGAAGATTCCCCACCCCTCTTCTTTTTCTTCTCTTTTCTGTGAACGCTCTGCTCTCTCATTTGGTTGCTAGCGACACACTCCACTGTTTTTCTGTCGACAACACTCTTCTTCCATTACTACTACTATCTAATTCTGCTTCTCCAATGCTGCTTATTAGGCTGGTGTGGGCCCAAACCAGTGGAATGGAATGGAGCATGGAATGTGAAAAAAAACGAGGCCCAACCGTCCCCAATCTCCTCCCCACCAAAACCGCGCCACCATGTCCATGTCCATGTCCATGCTTCCTCTTCCTCCTCCCTCACTCTCCCGTCAGATCCCCTCTCCCCACTTCTTCCTCGCCCAAATTCCCTCTCCCCGACCAAGCTTCAGCTCTGCTCTAGCCCCAGCAATGCCGCCTAGCTCGTAGCCGACGCGCCCGTCCGTCCGTCGCAACTCGCAATGGCGCCCGCGGCGGCGCTGCTGCTGGCGTGCGCCGTCGCCGCGCTGGCATGCCTGGCACTCGCGGACCCGCCGGCGAGCGAGCAGACGGCGCTGCTGGCCTTCCTCGCGGCCGTGCCGCACGAGCGCAAGCTCGGGTGGAGCGCCTCCACGCCGGCCTGCGCCTGGGTCGGGGTCACCTGCGACGCCGCCAACTCCACCGTCGTCAAGCTGCGCCTACCCGGGATCGGGCTCGTCGGCCCCATCCCGCCGGGGACCCTCGGGCGGCTAGCCAACCTCCAGGTGCTGTCCCTCCGCGCCAACCGCGTGTCCGGCACCATCCCCGACGACCTCCTCCGCCTCTCCGCCCTCCGGTCCCTCTTCCTGCAGGACAACGCCGTCTCCGGCGCCATCCCGCCGGGGGTCTCCGGGCTGGCCGCGCTCGAGCGGCTCGTGCTCTCCCACAACAATTTGTCGGGCCCCATCCCCTTCGCGCTCGGCGGCCTCGCGGCGCTGCGCGCGCTGAGGCTCGACGGCAACCGGCTGTCCGGCAAGATCCCCAGCATCGCCAACCCGGGGCTCAGGGCGTTCAACGTTTCGAACAACATGCTCAACGGCTCCATCCCGCGGGCGCTGTCGCGCTTCCCCGCCGACGCCTTCGCCGGGAACCTCCAGCTGTGCGGCACCCCGCTGCCCCCCTGCAGCCCCTTCTTCCCGTCCCCGGCGCCGGCGCCGGGGATGGGCCCGAGCGACGGCGCGCCGGGGAGGAAGAAGAAGAAGCTGTCCACCGCGGCGATCGTCGGCATCATCGTGGCCGCCGTGGCCGTCGCGCTGCTCCTGCTTCTTCTGGCCATCGTGTTCTGCTGCAAGAAGAGGGCCCGGCGAGGCGCGCGCACGGAGGGACCGAAGGGCACGGCCGCGGCGGCGGGGCAGACAGGCACAACCAGACCGCCGGCGGCGTCCGGCGAAGGCACGGGCACCGCGTCCTCGCCAAAGGACGACGCGGGCACCTCCGGGGCGGTGGCCGCGGCGGGCGGCGGGACGGGGGAAACGAGCCGGCTGGTGTTCGTGGGGAAGAGCGCGGGGTACAGCTTCGACCTGGAGGACCTGCTGCGGGCGTCGGCGGAGGTGCTGGGGAAGGGGAGCGCGGGGACGTCGTACAAGGCGGTGCTGGAGGAGGGGACGACGGTGGTGGTGAAGCGGCTCAAGGAGGTGGCGGTGGCGCGGCGCGAGTTCGAGGCGCACATGGAGGCCGTCGGCGGCGTGGAGCACCGCAACCTGCTCCCCGTCCGCGCATACTACTTCTCCAAGGACGAGAAGCTGCTCGTCTACGACTACCTCCCCGCCGGCAGCCTCTCCGCCATGCTCCACGGTCAGTCATCACCCTCCCTCCTTCAACCAAAACTGTACTGCATTGCATAGATAGCATCGCCGGCAATTCGACGTGACGGCATGTGGAGTGGACGGGCGGCTCATCTGGCGCGCTTTTCGCCCCGTTCTGCGTCTTTTTCTTTGGTTCATCATTGTTTTGTGGATCTTTCTCTCGTTGGTCGTGGCTTTTCTTTGATGGCCAAGCGGGGTAAAAATCGTGGCATGTGCATGGGATCATCAGAGAAAGAAAGAAAGAAGGAGCGATGATGATGGGCTCGGCTCGCTGCTGGAAATGCAACACTTGGCCCGCATTGGCGAGGAGCAGAGACAGAAAATGGTGTGCGTGCGCTGGCCGCGGGGTTTTCGGGCTGTAAAGCCACGACGATGGTCCTCCCTCCTCGTGGATTTTCTTTTCTTTCTTTCTTTCTTTCTTTATTTACATTCCAACGCTACGATCCAGAGGAGAGGAGAAATGCAGCGCTGCTTCGTCCGTATAGTAGTTTCGAAATGCGAATGCGGTCTGCACGCCGTGTGGCCTCACTGAACAGCCGAGTAGTAGTAGTAGCGCCAGTGAAAGCGAAAGGCGTCTCTGCACTCTTCTTGGCGCCATATCCGTCGTTATCGTGTGGGCATGCAGTACCGTACTGTCACCACTGTAGCCCATTTGATAATCGGTAGTAGAAGAGGATACTGTACTCGTCTTGGGCCACTTGTGAGAGGGAGGGAGACGCCTGTGCACTGCACTGCACTGGCGGGGGCCGGCAGCCATGTGCCGGGACCCGCAGTCAGTCAATACCCTGGCAGCACAACGGAGCAGTATCTACGTACGCATGGCACATCCATCGTACTTGCTGCACTGCGTTACTGTGGGAGGCTCTGTTTCTCTTCGCGTAGGCCTTTTATGTTCTGATGCTAGTGTTCGATTGTGTTTCTCAAATGATGAAGCCGCGAGTATGATGATTAGCAGCGCTGTCTGTGACCTACTGTTCCGTCGCCATTTGAGGTTCTAGAGTGCCTACCAGATCAGATGCGCTCATTTTGTGCCCGGGTATATGTCTGCTCTGTTTCAGTGAGTATCTGTCTCAGTTTTGGTCCTACTTAATAACCTACTACGGCAGCTGGTTGATTGATTGCTTCGGTGGTTGTTTGCTGCTGCTCCACAACTGTGTCATGTGCTGTGCTGTCCTCTTGTTACCGTCCAAGGCTGCATTGCATACTATACTGAAGTACGAGCTACCACATTTTCTTTTCTTAAAGAATCCCTCACCTCTCTTCTTTAATTGTGGACCGGCCGATCAATCAGGATGATTGGTTTCGGTTCTTTAGTCTTGCATGGTTGTGGGTGTCTTTAGATTAGCAGCAAACTGATTGAGCGTTAATTCTACTCCCTCCATTCCTAAATAGATGATCCAACTTTGTAGTACTAACTTTTAGTAGCTGTTAGCTCACGTCCCATTGATTTAATCAGTCGTACGTGACGCTACTTGCATTTTAATCCTATATAATCAGTTGTACATTATACTACATTGCAAGTTTGCTAATGTCACATTGGTATTTGTCAAAATTTTCTTTTCTTTGAGAAATCGGTAGCATGAGCTCTGCCTTATCGATCGGCCCAAGATTTTTCTCACCGGAATGAAATGAAATTTGAATGCAGGGAGCCGGGGCTCGGGCCGGACGCCCATGGACTGGGACGCGCGCATGCGCTCGGCGCTGTCGGCCTCCCGCGGCCTCGCGCACCTCCACTCGGAGCACAGGCTCGCGCACGGCAACGTCAAGTCCTCCAACGTGCTGCTCCGGCCGGACCTCGACGCCGCCGCGCTCTCCGACTTCTCCCTCCACCCCATCTACGCGCCGACGTCCGTCCGCGCGGGCGCCGGCGGGTACCGCGCCCCGGAGGTGGTGGACACGCGGCGGCCGACGCTCAAGGCGGACGTCTACTCCCTTGGCGTGCTCCTGCTGGAGCTCCTCACCGGCAAGTCCCCGACGCACGCGTCCCTGCAGGAGGGCGACGGCGGCACGCTGGACCTGCCGCGCTGGGTGCAGTCGGTGGTGCGCGAGGAGTGGACCGCCGAGGTGTTCGACGTCGAGCTCGTGCGCCTCGGCGCCAGCGCCGAGGAGGAGATGGTCGCGCTGCTGCAGGTGGCCATGGCCTGCGTCGCCACCGTGCCCGACGCGCGCCCGGACGCGCGGGACGTCGTCAGGATGATCGAGGAGATCGGGGCCGGCCACGGGCAGACCACCACGGAGGAGAGCGCGCGGGCGACCACCTCCGAGGAGGAGCGCTCCAGGGGCACGCCGCCGGCCGACCCGACGCCGTAGGTGGCTCCGGCCTGCCCACGGACATCTCTTGATTGTTTTGTTGGATGATGAATTGTATTCTCTCTCTCTCTCTCTCTCTCTCTCTCTCTCTATGAAGCCTCATGTCACGCAGGTTTCATTCTTTCTTCCGAGTAAAGTAAATGTTTCTCCTCTTCTTTTCTTTTTTGCTGTACGCCTCTGTGCAGCCCCTTTTGACCTTCTTTGTGATTCTTTGTGATGGATTAACGCTCCCCATGCATCATTATATTTTTTTCTTTTTTCTGAACATTACCCCGTGTCTCTTTATTCATAAAACGCAGGAATTTCTGCTGAGACAACGTGCAAGATACATTCCGGCGGCTCATTCAGACACATACTTGCAAAGATTTTCTTTTTCTTTTGCCTCTTTACATACTTGCTCCATTTAGGCCTAGTTGAGAAAAACATGCAAAAAACCACCATCGGCATATCATTTAGTAGTCTGCATGTAGATTGTCTACATTAAGGGAGCAACTTGGGCATGGCGTTTGGTGTCGTGTATTGACTAGGCTGATGCAACTATAGGGTGTTTGGTTGAATACACTTGACATATGATTAAGAGTAGCTACGCATAGCACATAGAGTTACACTAGAGTGCCTCGGTCCCTCAGCCCTCTTCGCTGTCAAGCTCTCTCCAGAACTATGGCATCGAAGATTAGGTCATCCCTCGAAAGCTGCCGTTGAGTCAGTCCTTAGAGCATCTACAGCCAGGCGCCTCAAACCCTCTCTCGAAAGCTGTCGTTGAGTCGGTCCTTAAAGCATCTACAACCGGACGCGTCAACACCCCCCTCCCCCCCCCAAACGGCCGGGTGGACGCCTCGACCTAGACGAGCACCTCAACGGGCCACAAACTCCCGGGCTGATTGACACCCATCATATCCAACCCAAAAGTAGGACGGATATGGGGCAGGCCCGGACGCGATCGGCCACGTCCGTCACGCGGAACCCGACACCCCGTCCCCACCACAAATTGCGCCAAATCCACCCCCTTGACCTACGATTCGATTTGGCCTCCCCTTTCTTATTCCTCCTTCGCCTCGGGCGTCTTGTAGCTCCGCCGCCACCTTTGCTCCACCGTCGTTTTGAGTCTCAGCGCCGCCAGCACTTCCATTCCAGTCCTCTCTATCGCGCTCGCCGATGACCCACAAGTATAGGGGATCTATCGTAGTCCTTTCGATAAGTAAGAGTGTCGAACCCAACAAGGAGCAGAAGGAAATGATAAGCGGTTTTCAGCAAGGTATTCTCTGCAAGTACTGAAAAAAGTGGTAACAGATAGTTTTGTGATAAGATAAATTGTAACGAGCAACAAGTAACAAAACTAAATAAAGTGCAGCAAGGTGGCCCAATCCTTTTTGTAGCAAAGGACAAGCCGGAACAAACTCTTATAATAGGAAAAGCGCTCCCGAGGACACATGGGAATATCGTCAAGCTAGTTTTCATCACGTTCATATGATTCGCGTTCGATACTTTGATAATTTGATATGTGGGTGGACCGGTGCTTGGGTGCTGTTTTTACTTGAACAAGCATCCCACTTATGATTAACCTCTATTGCAAGCATCCGCAACTACAACAAAAGTATTAAGGTAAACCTAACCATAGCATGAAACATGTGGATCCAAATCAGCCCCTTACGAAGCAACGCATAAACTAGGGTTTAAGCTTCTGTCACTCTAGCAACCCACCATCTACTTATTACTTCCCAATGCCTTCCTCTAGGCCCAAATAATGGTGAAGTGTTATGTAGTTGACGTTCACATAACACCACTAGAGGCTAGACAACATACATCTTATCAAAATATCAAACGAATACCAAATTCACATGACTACTAATAGCAAGACTTCTCCCTTGTCCTCAGGAACAAACGTAATTACTCACAAAGCATATTCATGTTCATAATCAGAGGGGTAATAATATGCATATAGGATCTGAACATATGATCTTCCACCAAATAAACCAACTAGCATCAACTACAAGAAGTAATCAACACTACTAGCAACCTACTAGCACCAATCCTGGACTTTGAGACAAGAATTGGATATAAGAGATGAACTAGGGTTTGGAGATGAGATGGTGCTGGTGAAGATGTTGATGGAGATTGCCCTCTCCCGATGAGAGGAGCGTTGGTGATGACGATGGTGATTATTTCCCCCTCCCGGAGGGAAGTATCCCCGGCAGAACAGCTCTGCCGGAGCTCTAGATTGGTTCCGCCTCATGGCGGCGAAGTCTCGTCCCGAAAGGTTCCCTGTGATTTTTTCTCATCGAAAGACTTCATATAGCAGAAGATGGACGTCAGAGAGCCACCAGGGGCCCACGAGGTAGGGGGCGCCCCCACCCTCGTGAGTAGGGTGTGGGCCCTCTGGCCTTCATCTTTGGCGAGGATTTCTCTTTATTTATTTTAAGATGTTCCGTGGAGTTTCAGGACTTTTGGAGTTGCACAGAATATGTCTCTAATATTTGCTCCTTTTCCAGCCCAGAATTCCAGCTGCCGGCATTCTCCCTCTTCATGTAAACCTTGTAAAATAAGAGAGAATAGTCATAAGTATTGTGACATAAAGTGAAATAACAGCCCATAATGTAATAAATATCGATATAAATGCATGATGCAAAATGGACGTATCACTCGCCGTCGCTGACATCGGCGCCTACCAGAACGCCACCGCAATACGTCTGCCAACTTTTGGGCCATTGTGCTTTGTGTTCGACACGTTGTCCACCCCGGTTTTTTGTGATTTATTCATACGAAAAATGGTGGATTCCAATGCTTCGTCAGACGAGGTGTATGGACCTACGGAGCTGGATAAATGATGAAGGTGAGTTCTTCGATTCATCGGATTTGGACAAAGAAGTGGACATGATCATGCTCATGAGCATGCAAGAAGAAATGGCCCGGCAGGTGGAGCATATTCTCAACTTCAAGGGCTCAATCAAAGGGGGAAGAGTAATCAATCAGGATAGGGTCTCCGGAGCACGGCTATTGTACAAAGAATCTTTGCTCCGAAGTCAACTTTCCTTGATGATCCATGGTTTCGCCGCCATTTTCGCATGCACAAACCGGTATGTTTGAGCGTTGTGGAGGTTGTGGAGGCGCTCAATGACTATTTCAAGCTCACTAGGGATTGTTGCGACCAACTCTCTTTCTCTGCTAAGCATAAATGCACGACTGCTCTGAGGATACTTCCACTTGGTACTACCGCTGGTGAGGTGGTTCGGATGGGGGAGAGCACAAGCCTGAAGAATATTGTCAGGTTTGCTGGCGCCGTGGTGCAGGAGTTTGGAGCAGAGTATCTGAGATAACCAAATGTGCACGACACAGAAAAGTTGTTGGCTATTGAAGAGGCAAGAGGGTTTCCAAAAATGCTCAGATCAATTGATTGTCTACATTGGCAATGAAAGAAATGTCCCAAAGGTTTACGTGAAATGTATCAAAGTCAAACCAAAAGGTCACCATCATACTGAAAATCAGTGGCATCACATGACTTATGGATTTGGCATGCTTTCTTTGGAGTGTTGGGTTCTCGCAACGACATCAATGTGCTTCAACAATCTCCCATGTCCAAGAGGCTTTGTAATGGGAATCGTCGTCGTGCAACTACACTATCAACGACCATGACTATAATATGAGAGACTATCTTGTCGATGACATCTATACTCAGTGGGTGGCGTTTGTGAAGACCATATCCAAACCACAGGGCAACAAACAAAGCCAGTTTGCGAAAAGACCCACCCATGTTGGCGTCCGTTGGGAGGAGGAGCGGGCGAAAGGTCGTCGTGCGGGCGTGCGGAGCGGTTTTTTCTTTTCGTTTTATGTGGACGTATCACCTCAAACGTCTGTTTTTTTCTATTATCGAACCAGCTTTTGTGGAAGGCCGTATGCGGACGAGTAATGCTACGCATACATAGGTTTACGGGTTTTTTTATAGCCAGGTTGGTTTTGATTGGAGATTAAGGGGGAAGGTATATGTATCATCCCCAGTTGATTCCACAGATCTTTCGCATGAATACACTGGAACAAGAGGTGTCTAATGTCCCCGCACCCCAATGAATTGGCCATGCCCCATCGGTTCCTATGTGTCGGTTTCTTAGGATAGAATCTAGAGGTGTGTTTCCATGGAACACTCACCATCCGAAAAATTGACCTTTTCATGGAGTTTTGTAAAAAATAAATAAAGCTATATCATTTTTCTTAAATCACGAACATTTTTTCAGATATACAAAAGTTCAAGGTGTGAAGATTATCAAAAACTGTATATTGATATAGAAATTGTATATCTTTGTACCTTGAAAATCACAAACATGTTTTGAATTCAAGATTTTTTTAAATTCATGAACATATTTTTCAAACTCGTGAACATCTTTCTGAAAGTTTAACTTTTTAAAACACACGTACATTTATTGAAATTCATGAACATTTTTGAATTCGCTAACTTTTTTTGAATTCATGAACATTTTTCAATTCGCTAACTTTTTTGAATTCATCAACATTTTTCAATTCGCTATTTTTTTTTGAATTTATGAACATTTTTCAAACTGTGATCAATTTTTGAAATTAGCGAAATCATGAACTTCATTAACTTTTTTTAATTCATGAACATTGTTTGAAGTAATGATTTAAAAAAAAACAATTATGAACATTTCTTGAAGCCCGAAATCTTTTTTTGAATTAACATACAGTTTTAAAATTTGTGAACAATTTTAAAATTACAGAACCTTTTTTGACTTGGTGAACATTTTTTTGAATTCATGAACTATTTTCATATTCGTGGGCATTTTTCAATTTTCAACCACTTTTTAAATTTGTGAACATTTGTCAAAGTTTCACAAACATTTTTGAATCAAATCGCTTTCATTCAAATTTTTGTCCGTTCGATCCCTCTGTTAGGATTCGTGTAGTTTTCTCTTTCTTTTTAGCGCTCAGGCTGTTTTGGTCGTTATCGGACCCGCAAACTGTTGCTGTGAGACCCGTTGATACCACACGTCGTG